CGCATTACAAGGAAATGTCCAGTGACAATGATAAATGTGAACAGAAGGAAGGCCAATCTTCAGACGCAGGTAAATTTTAAATTAGACTTTTAACAAGGGTTATGATTCGAATTGCACTAAGATCCATCATGACAAAATGAAGAAAAAATTTCCTGTAAATGTAAATACTAAAGGATCTCTCATTTGGTGAGCAGACCCATATTTTGCGACTGTGGAACAAATGTGACCCAAAGTCACGCTCCGCTGCGCACCGAACGACTTGGTCAAGCCAAGACCTACAAACCTCCGTCAAAATGGCGTACAGTGTGGGTGTGGCAACTTCCTCTTCGAGTTAGTTGCGCTTGCCGGATTTCTTCACAAATTAACTTTCATCTGAACTTTATCCCTGGAGCTGTGCATACGAAGTTGAAGGTCGTTAGCATGTGTTATATACAAATAATATACGCAGATACTATCAGTGTCTCACGACTCGGGACCTGACAGACACGACTTAACGCGACACGAAAGGCATTCTCCGTGTTTACACACGCGGTATTACTTGGCACTGGCCCACAGTGCCAATGCTCACGTAGAAGAGATCGACGGAAAATGATAGCACACGTGGAGAGATAATTCAGCGCTTCCTTTTATCATCTGATGTGAGATTAGCGCGTTTACGATGTGGAGGAAGCGCTTGCGCCTACGCTGCCAGTGTCTTATCGTTCCTTTGGTTCGCAAACTACAGTGCAGGAACCGCGTAAAAGTCAGTGAATCGAAATTTCACCGACTGTGTCGAAATTAAAAGGGAAAAATGTTTTTAGTATTTCTGTAAAAGCTCCTCCTTGCCCTTTCCAGCTTCCCTTCCCCTCTCACAATGGCGTTGCCCAAGCTCTTAGTTATTTTGCGTCCACTGCAATTGACACTTTTGCAGCAGAGACCAAACGTTCGACAAGTAAACGCGAAGACGAGAAATAAAAAAAATATTTACAAAGTCTGAAGGGAATTGGAGGGGGGTATGGACGTAAAAGGGGGAACAACACTCAGATGAGTCTGAATAAAGCGGAGCATGATATGGTCTGGCTTTCGTGAACACAGCAAAAACTTCTAGGTTTCATTTCTTAACTAGCTGAGCAACTACTAGTTTCTCAAGGACTCTGCTCCATGGAGTGCGTTAGTAGGTCAGTCAGCCATGCTGAAAATCAGACATGCGAGGAGGACTGTCCTGTCACCAATTGCCGGCATCGAATGCGAACGTTGAACGGAAACTTGATTGCTAAATGAGACAGGTTCTGAGGTGTAAAGTTGCGAAAGCGCGGGAAGGATTTGCTAACCGTGCCTTTTGTGTTTAATCAACTACTTCGTCCTTTTTTATACTTTCCTTCCTTCTAACAAGCCGTAACT